TACACATACATACACACAAATATACACATACACATATATACACACACATATACACACACATACACGCATACATACACATATATACACGAATATACACATATACACAAATACATATATACACATACATACACACAAATATACACATATATACACATACATATACATACATATGCACATACACACACATACATATATATACATACACACAAATATACACATACACATTTATATGCATGCACACATATATACACATACCTACACACATATATACATACACATATACACAGATACACATATATACACATCCTTATACCCACCCACCCTGGTGTTCCTGCCCATGTACAGAGAGACGCCAGACTCGGCTGTGGCAGAATGGGATCTTTACTGACAAGAGCTGTTCTGCAAAGACAACGCAGCCAAAGACTGTCAGCGCATGCCCCCCACCCTAATCACSCCCAACAGAAGGCGGGAGAAGGGCGCATGGCAACAGGGGGTGTATCGTCTCCCACCCCCCCCCCCACCCCCCAAATCTGGCAGACYGAACCCGGCTTCTCCAGCAAGACTTTCTTTATTTGGTTTCAAGTGGTTCTGAAGTCACTCGATCTGGAAGTGATTAAGACAGGAAGGAAGAAGGCAGCGTGGTTCAGGCATCAAGGCCAAGGGGGTTGCTATGGCTGACAGCCCCCCACCCTTTTTCTCCAAAGGAAGGGCTTGGGTCAGGGCCTCCGGAGCAGAGGGGGGCTCTCCTTTTGCTATAACATACCCCCCCCCCCAATTCCTTTGCTTAAATACTTCCACTGACTTTAGTGGCCTGGCAGTCGGGCACTGGGGAAGGGTCTCTGGGCCCCCGCCCCATTTAAGGAACCAGGGGGGAGCCAAGGATGGAGATGCAGACCATTCACAACACATCTTGCACCTGATTTGAGCCAAGCCAAAACCGGACCCAGTTGGTGGAAGGGCAGCTTTGAGTCTCCCATCCCTCCAAAGAAACACATTTCCTCCATTGGGTGCCATTGTATCACCCAGTGCCCCATGTGCAGTTGGGAATTGTGGGCGTTGGAGTCCAAAACACCTGGAGGGCCAAAGTTTGCCCATGCCTGCTATAGACAGGGCCAGCCCTAGTTAATTTTCAAGTGTAAGCGGGAGTGCCTCAAGAGCGCCCCTTGGGGATGTGCGCTATACGCAAATGCTTATCTTGCCTATTGCTTCAGCCGCCCTTGGCTATAGACAAGTTTTGGACCCAAGCAGGGAATGGCGGCTTAAGGCAAGGCTTGGCACCATTTCCAACCCAATGGGGGCCGACCACAACACTCTCTTCTCAAATGTTCTTCTCTCATTTTGGGAAGCACCTCTGCTTCAATGCTGGGAGAGACCTGGATGGAGTTAATTCCTCTCGCTCTGCTTGGGAATAGGAATAGCAAACTGCCCCTCAGGAAATCAGCATAATTGCAGGGTCACCCCTGTGCCACTAAGCCCACCCCCCCCCCCCAGGGCCCATCATAGGGGGGTCTCCTGCTTGTATTCATATCCGCAGGTGGGGCCTTCGAACTGCAGCTTGATGGCGGCCTTGAGGTGCAGGTGGGAGTCCAGGGTGTCGATGGAGAGCAGGGGCTCCCCAGACCCTTCCTCCTTGCCACCACGCTTGCCTTGCGGAGGGCTCACAGTCCGGTTCCGTCGGGGCAGAGACTGCTGCTGGATCTGCTGCACAAAGGCCACGCTGTCCAGGGGCACCGTTTGGGCCGTGGCCAGAGAGTGGAAGGTGGAGGAGGAGGAGCCGGGGCAGGAGGAGGTGGCCAGAGGGGAGCCCTGGCGTTTGATCGCGGGGAGGGGGCTGCCGGCCGAGGAGCCAGAGGAAGAGGGAGTGTTGCCCGGCGAGCCCCGCTGCCACCGCTCCAGCAGCCGGAGCACACCCCGGTGGCCCTGTCTGGCGGCCATGTTGGCCGGGGAGCGCCCCGCCTGGTCCAGGATATTGGGACTGGCCCCGTGTTCCAGCAGGACCTTGGCTACTGCGATGTGACCCTCCTGAGCGGCGATGCCCAGTGCCGTGGCTCCTTGGTTGCAAGCATGGTCCGGCTGGGCCCCCCTGTCCAGCAAGAGGCGGGCTACCCCTGCGTGGCCCCTCCAGGCGGCAAGGTGCAGGGCTGAGCGGCGCTCCGCATCCAAGGCATCCGCGTCAGCTCCATAGCTCAGCAGCAGTCGCGCCATCTCCTCCTCTCCATGCCAGCAGGCCACATGAAGGGCAGTGCGGCCCTGGGCGTCCCTCCCCTCTGGACTGGCTCCATTCTCCAGCAGCAGCTCCGCCATCTCGGCCCGGCCCTCCAGCACCAGTAGGTACAGCGTGGGCCGGCTCTCCGCGTCCGAGAGATTGGTCTCCGCCCCTTTGCGCAGAAGCAGCTCTGCTGTGGCACGGTGCCCACCCAACGCAGCCAGAGCCAAGGCCGACAGCCCGTCATGGCCCCGGCGGTCAATGGGGGAGCCCCGCTCCAGCAGGAGGCGCACCGCCTCTGTCCGGCCCTCCTGTGCGGCCAGCATCAGCGGGACACGGCCATCACGGTTCGGTTCCCCTGGCCGGGCACCGGCCTCCAGCAGAGTGGCACAGGTCCTAGCGTGGCCCTGCCAGGCCGCCAGGTGCAGCGGCGTCCAGCCCAGGCTGTCCCGGTGGTTCTCGTCCAGGCCCCGTGCCAGCAGCGCCCGCACCGCTGCCTCGCTACCCGTCCCGGCTGCCACCCCCAGTGCCGTTCGGCCTTCACCATCCAGCACATCCACAGCCGCCCCCCAGAGAAGCAGGGCGTCCACCACAGAACGGTGGCCCATGGAGGCAGCGGCCAGTAGTGGTGTGCATCCTGTGTTGTCCGCCTCGTCCACATCAGCCCCAGCCTCCAGCAACAGCTCCACCACATCTGCATGGCCTTCATATGCGGCCACCAACAAAGGGGTCATCCCGTCCCGGTCAGCATGCCCTGGAGAGGCCCCATAGTCCAAGAGCAGTTCCACCACCTTGGCATAGCCGCGGCTGGCTGGTACACAGAGAGCTGCCACAGAAAGAGCCGTCCGGCCATCTACATCGGTGTGATCCACGTGAGCCCCGTGAGCCAGGAGCAGTGCCACAATCTCTCTGTGGCCCATGTAGGCAGCTGCAATCAGCGCTGTCCTCCCTTCAGTGTCAGCCCGGTTGACATCAGCACCATGCTCCAACAGTGTGGCAACGATGTCCTCGTGGCCACCCCATGCTGCTGCTCGCAAGGCAGTTCTGCCCTCGGTATCGGTGGAGTCCACGTTGGCACCTGCCCTCAGCAGCACCCCCACAGCCTCACTGTGCCCACCCCAGGCTGCTGCCCGCAGCGCCGTCCACCCTTCGCGGTCCGGGCGGTCGACCTCAGCGCCATTGGCCAGCAGACAGAGCAGGACCTTGGTGTGGCCCTGGCGGGCAGCCAGGGTCATGGGGGTCTGTCCATGCCGGTCGGGGGTTTCAGTGCGAGCCCCACGTGCCAGGAGCAGTCCTGCTACCTCGTGGTTGCCACTGTGGGCGGCGCTGGCCAGCAACGTCCTCCCATTGAGGTCCCTCTGGTCGACGCTGGCCCCATTCTCAAGTAGCAGCCGGACTGAGTCCTCGCGCTCCAAGGCATGCTGCAGCGAGGGACCTGGCCCCCTGTTCCCCAACTGGGCCCCTGCCAGCACCAGCAGCTCCAGCACGTCAGGCTCCAGGGGTTGCTCGCCGGGTTCCAGGCAGCGTTCTAGAGGGGCCCCACACCACAGCAGCCAGAGGGCCAGTTGCCAGGGCTCCAGGGCTAGCTCCGCCTGCAGCAAGTGTCGGACCAGCTGGCGGACTCCTTCGGGGCTCAGGGTTGGCGCCCGGCACGAGGCGCTCATGGCCAGAGCTGCGTGACCCAGGGCTGGACGGCAGAGGTACTTCTGGGTGCAGTGCTTGACATCACAGAGCCACTCAGCGAAGCTGGCGTGGAAGAGAAGGCAGGTGCCGCCGGGCCCCTCCCGCAGCAGCGGCCCCAGGGCTCCCAGGCGGGCTTCAAACTCCTCCCGGGCTGAGGGACGGAGTGTCCAGGTGGCGGCATAGAGCTCCCCTGGGCGCAGAGGCCGAGGGGCAGCCAGGAGGACCTCCAGCAGTGGGCGGACAAGAGCAAAGCCATGGCCAGGGAAGAGGCGTTGGCAGAGCCAAAGGTAGAGACCAAAGAGGGTCCCAGGGATGTGGCGCGCCTCCCGCAGGGTGACCAGCTCAGCTGCCACACCATCCAGGACCCGCTCCAGGTAGAGCAGGCAACCGTTGCTTTTGATGTGCAGCTGGCTCAGGGCCTCGGCCGTCTGTTGGGTCAAGTGCCGGCGCAGGGCCTCCTCGCGCCCCAGGCGGGCCAGGATGTATTGCTGGACGTCGCCCACCACCGGCTCCCGTCTGAGGTCATCGAGGCACAGCCGCTGGAAATCTGCAATGGGAGGGATGGAGAGGAGGGGCAAGGGATTGGAGAGACAGAGATTTTGTAAGTGTTGTGGCCGAGATGTTCCCTGATGAGGATGATAGGATTCAGATTCCTGGCTCTTTTTCTATCCCTCAGATCTCTGGGCCTGCTTCTAGGTCTTTTTCTGAGGCTCCCTCAGACAGCGGAGAGTCAACAACACATTGGTACTCAGAAGAAAAGAATTTTAACAAAGGAGATAGCTAACAGGTGGGGAGACTTTTGCCTCCTTCCCATGCTGATACTGAAAGTGCAGAAAGCCTTGATAGTGACCTGACCCGGCAGGCTCGTCTCGATTTGCGGGTCAGATGGACTTCTCGTCTGGCCGGCAGACGGGAAGCCAGCTCGAGCCAAGGTCATTGCAATGCTTTCATGTTGGTGAGAGCATAACGTTTTCATGTTAGAAAGGTATTTAGGCTTCTTGCAAACTAAGGGAAAGCGTCAGTTCAACGTAGCTTATTAGCCTGAAAGCTTCATGGATTACCTTAGCTGGCAAGCAGCACGCTTGGGATTTCTTGCATTGTGATTCTTGGGGCAATTGTCTTTGCTTGTACCTTGTTTTTACCTAAAGATCTTTGGAACTGTATTCTGCATTTTACCCAAATCTTTGGAACTTTGCAATGCTTATTCTTTATTTTGACTTGGATTTTTTTCCTCAATAAACTATAAAACTACAGCTCTTGTGTGGTGGTGTTTGGAAGCAAGGTGAAGCTTACTCTGAGTTGCAACAATAATAATGTCTTGGGAATGTTTTTTTCCACCAATCCACCAATCAATTAATATCTCAATTAAAGAGGAGGGAGGGAGTGAAAGAGGGAGCAGGATAGCACTGCCAGGCACAGCAGGAGAGGAAAGGTGGGCGAAGAGTCAGAATGTACTGTCGAAGGCTGTCATGGCCGGAATCACTGGGTTGCTGTAAGTTTTCAGGGCTGTATGGCCATGTTCCAGAAGCATTCGCTCCTGACATTTCACCTGTTAGATGTCAGCATGACCTGGGAGAGATGGGAGGGGGAAGCACAGGAGAACTGTTTTGGAAAATAGGATTGTTTTGGAACAGAGAGGCACCAAAGTGAAGGGCAGAAGCTGGGAGAAGTGCAAAGAAGGAAAAGGGGGAAAGGTCTGATATTGTGTGTGTGTGTGTGTGTGCGTGTGCATGTTCTCTTTACTCTGGTCAACTATAAAACCCATGATACAGATCGCTCGGACTACTGTACCCACCCTTTAGTGTTATTCTGCAAATTAAATTATCTATATAAATAAAAAGGTAATGTTCGTTTGTGGGATTCACATAACTCAAAAACCACTGGACGAATTGATACGAAATTTGGACACTATACCCCTAACAGATCAACGAGTGACCATCACTCATAAAAAAAACCGCAAAACAGCAGAAAGGACTTAAAAACCCAAAACAGCTACATGACATACAGAAAAAAGGGAAGGAAGAGGGGGGTGGGGAGGAAGGGCAGAAAGGAAGAAAGAATGAATGAAAGAAAGAGCAAGAAAGAAAGAGCATGGAAACAAAGAGCAAAAGAAGGATGGAAAGAGGCAGAGAAGGAAGGAAGGAGAGAGAAAGGAAGGAAAAGAAAAAAGGGGGAAAGAAGGAAGGAGGTAGAAAAGGAAGGAAGGAGAGAAAGAAAGTAAAATGGAAGAAAGGAAAGAGAGAGCAAAGGAAGGAGGGAAAGGAGGAAAGAGGGAGGGAAGGAAAGAAGGAAATAGAGATGGAAGCGTGGAAGCAAAGAGCAAAGGAAGGAAGGAAAGAAAGAGGAAGGAAAAGAAATAGGGGGAAGGAAGGAAAGAGGTAGAGAAGGAAGGAGGTAGAGAAGGAAGGAAGGAGAGAAAGAGGGAGGAAAAGAAATAGGGGAAGGAAGGAAAGAGGTAGAGAAGGAAGGTAGGAGAGAAAGAGGAAGAAAAGAAATAGGGGAAGGAAGGAAAGAGGTAAGGAAGGAAGGAGAGAAAGAGGAAGGAAAAGAAATAGGGGAAGGAAGGAAAGAGGTAGAGAAGGAAGAAGGAGAGAAAGAGGAAGGAAAAGAATAGGGGAAGGAAGGAAAGAGGTAGAGAAGGAAGGAGAGAAAGAGGAAGAAAAGAAAGGGGAAGGAAGGAAAGAGGTAGGAAGGAAGGAGAGAAAGAGGAAGAAAGAAATAGGGGAAGGAAGGAAAGAGGTAGAGAAGGAAGGAGAGAAAGAGGAAGAAAAGAAATAGGGGAAGGAAGGAAAGAGGTAGAGAAGGAAGGAAGGAGAGAAAGAGGAAGAAAAAGAAATAGGGGAAGGAAGGAAAGAGGTAGAGAAGGAAGGTAGGAGAGAAAGAGGAAGAAAAGAAATAGGGGAAGGAAGGAAAGAGGTAGAGAAGGAAAGGAGAGAAAGAGGAAGAAAAGAAATAGGGGAAGGAAGGAAAGAGGTAAGGAAGGAAGGAGAGAAAGAGGAAGGAAAAGAAATAGGGGAAGGAAGGAAAGAGGTAGAGAAGGAAGGAGAGAAAGAGGAAGAAAAGAAATAGGGGAAGGAAGGAAAGAGGTAGAGAAGGAAGGTAGGAGAGAAAGAGGAAGAAAAAGAAATAGGGGAAGGAAGGAAAGAGGTAAGGAAGGAAGGAGAGAAAGAGGAAGGAAAAGAAATAGGGGAAGGAAGGAAAGAGGTAAGGAAGGAAGGAGAGAAAGAGGAAGGAAAAGAAATAGGGGAAGGAAAGAGGTAGAGAAGGAACGAAGGAGAGAAAGAGGAAGAAAAAGAAATAGGGGGACGGAAGGAAAGAAATAGAGAAGGAAGGAGAGAAAGAGGAAGGAAAAGAAATAGGGGAAGGAAGGAAAGAGGTAGAGAAGGAACGAAGGAGAGAAAGAGGAAGAAAAAGAAATAGGGGGACGGAAGGAAAGAAATAGAGAGAAGGAAAGGAGAGAAAGAGGAAGAAAAAGAAATAGGGGAGGAAGGAAAGAAAAGAGAAGGAAGGAGAGAAAGAGGAAGGAAAAGAAATAGGGGAAGGAAGGAAAGAGGTAGAGAAGGAACGAAGGAGAGAAAGAAGAAAAGGGAAAGAAGAAAGGAATGAGGGAGCAAAGGAAGGAGGGAAAGAAGGAGAGAGAAAGAGAAGGATGGTTGACCACAGCAACGTGTGGCGTGTACAGCTAATTGTATATTAAATCTCCTATTTCTAGTGTCTGATTGGAAATAAGGAACTAGAGATTTTTGGGGCCACTGAGCCTCAACAGAATGACCCAAGCCAAAACACAGAAATGGGGAAGCCCCCCAAGCCCCCAGCCCTCTGATCCATTGGGTCTGCTCCAGCTGGGACGATCCTCCGGGTTCTCCATATCCCGGCTGAGCCCCCATGAAAAGCTACCGCTACGTTTCCAGCTAGGGTTCCAGAAAGGGAGGGGAGCAACTACTTACTGGGGAAGAGTCCCAGAACCCCCTTGCTGTGGGTCCGGGCGGTGCAGACCAGGAGCAGCCAGGGGGGCAGCAGCTGGAGGTGGCTCCCCAGGAGACAGGCGATGGTCCGGCTGGGGCCCGGCGGGGGGCCACGCTCCTCCTCCTCTTCCTCCGCCATCGTCCGGTCACTCATCCCCGCGTCCAGTGCATCCACCACCATCAACAAGGGCCTGGGTGGTGGGGGGAGGTCAAGCAAGGGCAACAGCACCGCCCTAGAGGTGTGGGGGGGGGGGAGAGAAAGGATTTATTTGCCCCTGGGTCAAAGCAAGAACGGGCAACTTGGAAGTCCCTGAACAGACTCAGAAGCGGAGTGGGCAGATCAAAACACAACCTGGCCAAATGGCACGACCTAGAAGAATCCCACTCCTTGTGTGACTGTGGAGCAGAACAGACAGCTTTGCATTTGTACGCTTGTCCTCCATGTCCTGCCTCATGTACAGAGGAAGAATTGTTGGAGGCGACAGACAATGCAGTTGCTGTTGCCTGTTTTGAGTCAAAACGGAATACGGATTACGGTATTGGTTATGATTCTATGATGTGACGGAGCGGATTATTTAGTGTAACTTAGATTATAGTGTATTATTGTTGTATTGATTTCCTGTTTTGCCCTTTTGTAAACTGTTTTTATATGTTGTGCACCGCCGCGAGTCGCCCTAGGGCTGAGAGCGGCGGTCAATAAATGAAGCAAATAAATAAATAAATAAAAGATATTTATCTACTTGTGCTCCTTCTATTTTTATCAGTTTTATACTACTAATTTATGCAATGCTTTTGATACAAAAGAATAATAATAATCATCCTCATTATTACTATGTTTATCTTTGTTTACACCCTACTTTTACTCTCCAGAAGGAGACTCTAAGCAAATATAGTGAGAGTGTAAGACTGTAGGATCTATCTAGCAATATTAAATAAGCACTCACAAGCCGGTTTTGCTTTGAAATGGATATATTGCTTGTATCTCTGCAGCAAAGAAAGACACTACTGACTTTTCCCCACCATTACTTCCTTTTAGACACCTTTCCTGCCCATCTCCCCCTCTTCTCAGTTTCCTTATTAGAACTTGTTGCTTCACAAGTTCCAATACAAGGCTTCCAGCGCCCTATGCTGGCTTCAAATTGTCACAGAGAGAGAATTGATTCAGCCAGGATGTCACGGAAGGAATTTGTGATGTCTTCATGCTGTCAGAAATTGACTCCTGACGGAGAACTCAATGGGGACCACAGAGTTATTTGTTTATTTACAGCATTTATATTCTGCCCTTCTAAGGAAGGGGACTCAGGGTGGACCACCGAACATATAATTATCAGCAAACATTCAATGTCATTAGACAGACAGATAGAGGTTTCTTTTCCCCCAACTTCAGTGTCCTGGAGGTTGTGGTCGATTCTGGCCACAGGAGGGTGCTGTCGCTCCATCCTCTCTGACAGCGTTTCTCAACCTTCATCATGCCCCAACCCCTTAATATATAGTTCTTCCTGTTGTGGTGACCCCTAACTATAACATTATTTGTGTTGCCACTTCAGAACTGTAATTTTGCTACTGTTACGAATCGTAATGCAAATATCTGATTACCTGATGCACCCAAATTTGAATACTGGTGGGGTTGGGGGAGGTTGATGTTGCCATTTAGGAGCTGTAGTTGCTGGGATTTATAGTTCACCTACAATCCAGGAGCATTTTGAACTCCACCAAGGATGGAATTGAACTTGGCACACAGAACTTCCATGACCAACAGAAAATACTGGAAGGGTTTGGTGGGCAGTGTCCTTTGGTTTGGGAGTTGTAGTTCACCTACATCCAGAGAGCACTGTGGACTCAAACAATGGTGGATCTGGACCTAACTTGGCACGAATGCTCAATATGCCCAAATGTGAACACTGGAGGAGTTTGGGAGAAATAGACCTTACGATCTGGGAGTTATGGTTGCTGGGATGTATAGTTCAGCTAGAGTTAAACAGCATCGTGTACCCAACCAACAATAGAATTGGGCCAAACTTCCCACACAGAATCCCCATGACCAACAGAAAATACTGTGTTTTCTGATGGTCTTTGGTGACCCCTATGACACCCCCTTGCAACCCCCCCAGGGGTCCCGACCCCCAGGTTGAGAAACACTGCCCTTGATCACAGACTTCCTCCTTCTTTTAATCACCGGCATTTTCGGGCATTTCCTTTTTATGGTGAATATCTCTCCGCTGAAGCGGTGCCTATTTTCTCTGCTCACAGCTCATATCTGTTTTTGAAAGACTTAGGTGGACAGTGAGCTGGGCTGAAAGTCGGGTGCTCACCCCGACCTGGGCTTTGAAGTGCCAACCTTTCAATTGGTGAGATCTTATTGCTGCTGGCGGTGCAGATCTGCACAGTTGCGGCTTACCTGCGGAAGGCTTCGTCGGGGTCCTCCTCTTGGCCGCCCCCCTTCTGGGCTTGCAGGGCGCGGCTCAGGCGCTCTCGGGAGCCGGGCGGCAGCAGCGGGCAGCGCTGGATCTGTGCGGCCAGGCGTCGGAGGAAGCCTCGCGGGCAGCGGGTGTCGGCGTCGTGGGGATGGAGGAAGTGCCAGGCCAGGGCGCTCTCCCCCAAAGCGGCCCGGCACCCAGCCGGAGAGGAGGGCCACAGGGCTTCGGTGCAGAGGGCCGTCTTGCCGCAGCCGGGACCCCCGGTCACCAGCACCCCCCCGCCGCCCCCCTCCAGCAGCAGCGCCAGCCGGCCCAGCGCCCACTCCCGGCCAAAGAAAGACTTGCCCCGAAGGAGGCTCCCGCAAGGGGGGTCCATGGCTGGGGGTGGCGGTGGGGGGCATGGCGGCGGAGGGCCCAGCGAGGCTCCCGGGTGGGGGCCCAGCGCAGCCAGGAGGGAAGGAGGCCAAGGGGGTGCCCAAGGGGGTCCAAAAGGGCAAGGGAGGGGCCTGCAAGGAGAGAAGGGAATCGCCAAAAAAAGGAGGGAAAGGAGGAAGGAAGGAAGGAAGGAAGGAGTAAAGAGAAAAGGAAAGACGAGGGGGAGGGAAAGGAGGGAGGGAAGAAAAAAGGAAGGAAAGAGGGAAGGAGGAGGAGAAGAGGGAGGAAGGGAAAGGAAAGTAGGAGAAAGGAAGGAAGGAGAAAAGAGGAAGAAAGAGAAAGGGAGGAAAGGAAGAAAGAAAAGGGAGGAAGGAAGGAGAAAGGAAAGTGAGAGGGAAGGAAGAGGGGGAGGAAAAAAGGGAAGGAGGGAGTGAAGGAGGAAGGAAAGAGAAGGAGAAGAGAGGGAGAGGAAAGGAAAGGAAAGAAGGAAAGGAAAGAAGAAAGGAAAAAAGAGATAAGAAAAGAAAAGGAAAGGAGGAAAAGGAGAAGGAAAGGAAGGGGGAGAAGGGAAGGGAGGGGGGAAGGAAGGAAGGAAGGAAGGAAAAGAGAAAGGAAAAGATGGGAAGGGAGGAGGAGCCGACAAGGAGAGAGGAGGAGAGGAGAAGGAAAGGAAGGGAGGAGGGAGAGGAAGGAGGAAAAGAAAAGAGAAAGGAGGGAAAGGAGGGAAAGGAGAAGGAAGGAAGGAGATAGGGAAAAGGAGAGGGAGAAAAAAGGAAGGAAGGAGAGAAGGAAGGAAAGGAGAGGAAGAGAGGAGGGAGGAGGGGAGAGGAAGAGGAAGGAAGGAAGGAAGGAGGGAGGAGTGGAGGAGGGAAGGAAGGAAGGAAGGAAGAAGGAAGGAAGGAAGGAAGGAATGGAGGAAGGAAGGAGGGAAGGAGGAAGGAAGAGAAGGAGGAGAGGGAGGGAGAGGAAGAGGAAGGAAAGGAAGGAAGAGGAAAGGATAGAAAAAAGGAAAGGGAGGAAAAGGAGGGGAAGGGGAAGGAGGGAAGAAGGAAGGAAGGAAGGAAGGAAGGAAGGAAGGGAGGGAGGGGAGGAGGAGGGAGAAAAAGGAAAGGAAAGAGAAAGGAAGAAAAAGAAGGAGGGAGGGAGGAAAGAGAAAAGAGAAGAAGGAGAGAAGGAAGAAAGGAAGGAAGGATAAGAGTGGAAAAAGAAAAGAGAAGGAAAGATGGAGAGGGAAGGAGGAAAGAGGAAGGAAGGAGAGGAAGAAGGAAAGAGGAGGGGAAGGAGGGAGGGAGGGTGGAAGAAGGAAGGAGAGTGTAGGGAGGGAGAAAAGTGATAAGACGAAAGAGAGGAAGGAAGACAAGAAGAAAGGGAAGAGGAGAAGGGAGGGAGGGAGGGAGGGAGGGAGGAAGGGAGGAGAGTGTGAGGGAGGGAGAAAAGTGGTAAGGGAAGAGGAAAGAGAGAAAGGAAGACAAGAAGGAAGGGAATAGGAGAAGGAAGGAAGGAAGAAAGGAAGGGAGGGAGGAGAGTGTGAGGGAGGGAGAAAAGTGGTAAGGGAAGAGGAAAGAGAGGAAGGAAGACAAGAAGGGAGGGAGGGAGGGAGGGAGGAGAGTGTGAGGGAGGGAGAAAAGTGATAAGACGAAAGAGAGGAAGGAAGACAAGAAGAAAGGGAAGAGGAGAAGGGAGGGAGGGAGGGAGGGAGGGAGGGAGGAAGGAAGGAAGGAAGGAGGTGGAGAAGGAAGAAAGTGATAAGAGAAAGAGAGGAAGGAAGACAAGAAGAAAGGGAAGAGAAAGAAGGAAGGAAGGAAGGGAAAGAAAAGGGGGGTGAGGAAGGGAAGATGAAGAGAAGGAAGGAAGGGGATAAGGAAAGAAAGAAAGAAGAAAGGGAAGGAAGGAAGGAAGGAAGGAAGGAAGGAAGGAAGGAAGGAAGGGAGGGAGGGAGGGAGGGAGGAGAGTGTGAGGGAGGGAGAAAAGTGGTAAGGGAAGAGGAAAGAGAGAAAGGAAGACAAGAAGGAAGGGAATAGGAGAAAGAAGGAAGGAAGAAAGGAAGGGAGGGAGGAGAGTGTGAGGGAGGGAGAAAAGTGGTAAGGGAAGAGGAAAGAGAGAAAGGAAGACAAGAAGGAAGGGAATAGGAGAAGGAAGGAAGGAAGAAAGGAAGGGAGGGAGGAGAGTGTGAGGGAGGGAGAAAAGTGGTAAGGGAAGAGGAAAGAGAGAAAGGAAGACAAGAAGAAAGGGAATGAGGGAGGGAGGGGAGGAGGAAGGAGAGGGAGGGAGAAAAGGAAGAGAAAGAGAGGAAGGAAGACAAGAAGAAGGGAGGAGAGGAGGGAGGGAGGGAGGAGGAGGAGGAAGGAAGGAAGGAAGGGAGGAGAGATGTGAGGGAAGCAGAAAAGTGATAAGATGAAAGAGAGGAAGGAAGACAAGAAGAAAGGGAAGAGAAGAAGGAAGGAAGGAAGGAAGGAAGGAAGGAAGGAAGGAAGGAAGGAAGGGAGGAGAGTGTGAGGGAGGGAGAAAAGTGATAAGACGAAAGAGAGGAAGGAAGACAAGAAGAAAGGGAAGAGAAGGAAGGAAGGAAGGAAGGAAGGAAGGAAGGAAGGAAGGAAGGAAGGAAGGGAGGAGGAGGGAGGAGAGTGTGAGGGAGGGAGAAAAGTGGTAAGGGAAGAGGAAAGAGAGAAAGGAAGACAAGAAGGAAGGGAATAGGAGAAGGAAGGAAGGAAGAAAGGAAGGGAGGGAGGAGAGTGTGAGGGAGGGAGAAAAGTGGTAAGGGAAGAGGAAAGAGAGAAAGGAAGACAAGAAGGAAGGGAATAGGAGAAGGAAGGAAGGAAGAAAGGAAGGGAGGGAGGAGAGTGTGAGGGAGGGAGAAAAGTGGTAAGGGAAGAGGAAAGAGAGGAAGGAAGACAAGAAGGGAGGGAGGGAGGGAGGGAGGAGAAGGAGGGAGCAAAGAGGGGAGGGAGGGAGGGAGGGAGGAAGGAAGGAAGGAAGGAAGGAAGGAAGGAAGGAAGGAAGGAAGGAAGGAAGGATGGAAGGAAGGAGGGAAGGAAGGAAGAGAGGAGAGAGGGAGGAAGGAAAGAGGAAGGAAAGGAAGAAGGAGGAAAGGAAGGAAAAGAAGAAAGGAGGAAAAGGGGGAAGGGGAAAGAGGAAAGAAAGGAAGGAAGGAAGGGAGGGAGGGAGGGAGGGAGGGAGGGAGAAAAGGAAAGGAAAGAGAAAGGGAGAAAAGGAAGGAGGGAGGGGGAAAGAGAAAGAGGATAGGAAGGATGAGAAGGAAGGAAGGAAGGAAGGAATAGAGTGGAAAACAGAAAAGAGAAGGAAAGATGGGAGGAAGGAAGGAAAGAGGGAAGGAAGGCGGGCTAAGGGAGGAAAGAGGAGGGGAAGGAGGGAGGGAGGGTGGAAGGGAAGGAGAGTGTGAGGGAGGGAGAAAAGTGATAAGACGAAAGAGAGGAAGGAAGACAAGAAGAAAGGGAAGAGGAGAAGGGAGGGAGGGAGGGAGGGAGGGAGGAAGGGAGGAGAGTGTGAGGGAGGGAGAAAAGTGGTAAGGGAAGAGGAAAGAGAGAAAGGAAGACAAGAAGGAAGGGAATAGGAGAAGGAAGGAAGGAAGAAAGGAAGGGAGGGAGGAGAGTGTGAGGGAGGGAGAAAAGGAAGAAGAGGAAGAGAGGAAGGAAGACAAGAAGGAAGGGAGGAAGGAAGGAAGGAGAGTGTGAGGGAAGGAGAAAAGTGATAAGATGAAAGAGAGGAAGGAAGACAAGAAGAAAGGGAAGAGAAGAGAAGGAAGGAAGGAAGGAAGGAAGGAAGGAAGGAAGGAAGGAAGGAAGGGAGGAGAGTGAGGGAGGGAGAAAGGAAAAGAGAAAGAGAGGAAGGAAGACAAGAAGAAAGGGAAGAGAAGGAAGGAAGGAAGGAAGGAAGGAAGGAAGGAAGGAAGGAAGGAAGGAAGGAGAGGAGGGAGGGAGGAGAGTGTGAGGGAGGGAGAAAAGTGGTAAGGGAAGAGGAAAGAGAGAAAGGAAGACAAGAAGGAAGGGAATAGGAGAAAGAAGGAAGGAAGAAAGGAAGGGAGGGAGGAGAGTGTGAGGGAGGGAGAAAAGTGGTAAGGGAAGAGGAAAGAGAGAAAGGAAGACAAGAAGGAAGGGAATAGGAGAAGGAAGGAAGGAAGAAAGGAAGGGAGGGAGGAGAGTGTGAGGGAGGGAGAAAAGTGGTAAGGGAAGAGGAAAGAGAGAAAGGAAGACAAGAAGGAAGGGAATAGGAGAAGGAAGGAAGGAAGAAAGGAAGGGAGGGAGGAGAGTGTGAGGGAGGGAGAAAAGTGGTAAGGGAAGAGGAAAGAGAGAAAGGAAGACAAGAAGGAAGGGAATAGGAGAAGGAAGGAGAGAAGGGGGGAGGGAGGGAGGGAAGAAGGGAGGGAGGGAGGGAGGGAGGGAGGGAGGAAAGAAGGAAGGAAGGAGAAGGAAGGAAGGAAGGAAGGAAGGAAGAGGAAGGAAGGAAGGAAGGAGAGTGTGAGGGAGGGAGAAAAGTGATAAGACGAAAGAGAGGAAGGAAGACAAGAAGAAAGGGAAGAGGAGAAGGGAGGGAGGGAGGGAGGAGGGAGGGAAGGAAGGAAGGAAGGAGAGTGTGAGGGAAGCAGAAAAGTGATAAGATGAAAGAGAGGAAGGAAGACAAGAAGAAAGGGAAGAGAGAAAGGAAGGAAGGAAGGAAGGAAGGAAGGAAGGAAGGAAGGAAGGAAGGAAGGAAGGAAGGGAGGAGAGTGTGAGGGAGGGAGAAAAGTGATAAGACGAAAGAGAGGAAGGAAGACAAGAAGAAAGGGAAGAGAAGGAAGGAAGGAAGGAAGGAAGGAAGGAAGGAAGGAAGGAAGGGAGGGAGGGAGGGAGGGAGGAGAGTGTGAGGGAGGGAGAAAAGTGGTAAGGGAAGAGGAAAGAGAGAAAGGAAGACAAGAAGGAAGGGAATAGGAGAAAGAAGGAAGGAAGAAAGGAAGGGAGGGAGGAGAGTGTGAGGGAGGGAGAAAAGTGGTAAGGGAAGAGGAAAGAGAGAAAGGAAGACAAGAAGGAAGGGAATAGGAGAAGGAAGGAAGGAAGAAAGGAAGGGAGGGAGGAGAGTGTGAGGGAGGGAGAAAAGTGGTAAGGGAAGAGGAAAGAGAGAAAGGAAGACAAGAAGAAAGGGAATAGGAGAAGGAAGGAAGGAAGGGAGGGAGGGAGGGAGGGAGGGAGGGAGGGAGGAGAGTGTGAGGGAGGGAGAAAAGTGGTAAGGGAAGAGGAAAGAGAGGAAGGAAGACAAGAAGAAAGGGAGGAGAAGGGAGGGAGGGAGGGAGGGAAGAAGGGAGGGAGGGAGGGAGGGAGGGAGGGAGGGAGGACAGACGGACGGACGGACGGAAGGAAGGAAGGAAGGAAGGAAGGAAGGAAGGAAGGAAGGAAGGAAGGAAGGAAGGAGAGTGTGAGGGAGGGAGAAAAGTGATAAGACGAAAGAGAGGAAGGAAGACAAGAAGAAAGGGAAGGGGGGGGGGGGGGGGAGGGAGGGAGGAAGGAAGGAAGGAAGGAAGGAAGGAAGGAAGGAAGGAAGGAAAGCAAAGAGAGGGAGGAGAGGAAAGGAGAGGAAAGGAGGAAAGGAAAGGAGGGAGGGGAAGGAAAGGAGAGTGTGAGGGAGGGAGAAAAGTGAGAAGACGAAAGAGAGGAAGGAAGACAAGAAGAAAGAGAGGAGAAGGGAGGGAGGGAGGGAGGGAGGGAGGGAGGGAGGGAGAGGAAGGAAGGAAGGAAGGAAGGAAGGAAGGAAGGAAGGAAGGAAGGAAGGAGGAGGAGGGAAGGAAGGAAGGAAGGGAAGGGAGACAAGAAGAAAGAGAGGAGAAGGGAGGAAGGAAGGAAGGAAGGAAGGAAGGAAGGAAGGAAGGAGGAAGGAAGGAAGGAAGGAAGAGAGGGAGGAAGGAAGGAAGGAAGGAAGGAAGGAAGGAAGGAAGGAAGGAAGGAGAGGGAGGGAGGGAGAAAAGTGATAAGATGAAAGAGAGGAAGGAAGAAAAGAAGAAAGGGAAGAGAAGAAGGAAGGGAAGGAAGGAAGGAGGAAGGAAGGAAGGAAGGAAGGAAGGAAGGAGGAAGGAAGGAAGGAGGAAGGAAGGAAGGAAGGAAGGAAGGAAGGAAGGAAGGAGGAGGGAGGGGGGGAGGGAGGAAAAAGAGAGAGAACAAGAGAGCATGAGAGCTGTCCTTTGCAGACTGAGCCCCCAGCCCCACAGGTCCCAAAGGGCCTCACCCCCCCCCCCCACCCCTTGGAAGCCCCCTCCCCACCCAGTCTTCCTCTCCCTTTCCTCTCTCCCTTACAATGCTAGAAGCACCCCAATGCACCCCTGAAAAGCCTTGGACACCCAAGCACTGGAAGTGGCTTGCCTGGCCTGGCCTGCCTCTGCTCCCAAGGGACAAGGAAGGCAGGACAGGGGTGGGGGGCCCCAGGGGCCCCCCACCCCTGTCCTGCCTTGCTTGTCCCTTGGGAGCAGAGGCAGGCCAGGCCAGGCAAGCCCAGGCAGGCCGCACCAGGCAGCGGATGCTGCTGATTCATCGCCCCTTCCTGAAGGAAGGAAGGAAGGAAGCACACACCCAAGGCTGGCCGGCCCCTACCTGCAAGGCAAAGCCCACCCTCCCCTCCCCTCCCCTTCCCTCCAGGGGAATTGGGTCTGGGGTCCCATCGCACCTTTTGCACCCCCCCCTCCAAAGGTGCCTATGCTTCCCCCCCCCCCCATATAGGGATGTGTATTTGGGGAGGGGTTGCACTGACAAGCCCAGGCAGGTACTGCAGCAGAAGCATGGAGGAGAGTCACCTTTCAAGCCCCCTCCCCAATTATGGATGGGACCAAGTGAAGGCGAGGGAGCCACTGAGGGGTGGGTTGTAGGGGAGGGGGGGTGCCTTGGGTTTTTTTTGCTCCTTTTTTGACATACCTTCAGAGGGGAAGGGGCTACTTGAAATACAGTAGCATGGAGGGTCACCCTTCAAGCCCCCTCCCCAATTATGGAAGAGACCAAGTGATGATCAAGGGAGCCACTGACTTGGGGGGAATTTTAGGGGGGTGCCTTGGTCTTTTTTGCCCCTTCAGACCTGCCTTGGGAGAGGAGGGGGCTTCTTGAAATACAGTAGCGTGGAGGGTCGCCCTCCAAGCCCCCTCCCCAATTATAGAAGGGGTCAAGTGATGGTCAAGGGAGCCACTGACTTAGGGGGGGGCATGAGGGGAGGTTTGTAGGGTCTTTCTTGCCCCTTCAGACCTGCCTTGAGAGGGGAGAGGGCTTCTTGAAATATATTAGCATGGAGGGTCGCCCTCCAAGCCCCCTCCCCAATTATAGAAGGGACCAAGTGATGGTCAAGGGAGCCACTGACTTGGGGGGGAATTGTGGGGGTGCCTTGGTCTTTTTTGCCCCTTCAGACCTGCCTTGGGAGAGGAGGGGGCTTCTTGAAATACAGTAGCGTGGAGGGTCGCCCTCCAAGCCCCCTCCCCAATTATAGAAGGGGTCAAGTGATGGTCAAGGGAGCCACTGACTTAGGGGGGGGCATTGTGGGGGTGCCTTGGTCTTTTTTGCCCCTTCAGACCTGCCTTGGGAGGGGAGGGGGCTTCTTGAAATACAGTAGCGTGGAGGGTCAACCTTCAAGCCCCCTCCCCAATTATGAAAGGGACCAAGTGATAGGCAAGGAAGCCACTGACCTGGGGGGGGGGGAGGAGTTGTGGGGGTTCCCTGGTCTTTCTTGTCCCTTCAAAAAAAGCCTTGAGATGGGAGGGGGCTTCTTGACAGACAACAGCAGCCCTTCAAGCCCCCTCCCCAATTATAGAAGGGACCAAGTGATAGGCAAGGGAGCCACTGGGGGGGGGGGGGATTTTAGGGGGGTGCTTTGGTCTTTTTTGCCCCTTCAGAGCTTTGAAAGGGGAAGGGGATTTCTTGAAAGACCCCTGCCCCAAATTACTGCGGGAAGGAAGCCCCTCCCAGCGACCCCTGACCCTGCTCTCAAGACCCTTCTCCCACCAAAGCCCCCCCCCCGCGCGTTTAGATAGGGGAGGGGTCGTCCAGGTGTGTTTGCCTCAGGAAAGAGGGGCTCTGGTTTATTTGGGGAGGGGGTCCTGCTGCAATGAGGACCACAAGGAGGGGTCTCTCTCTCTCTTTCTCTCTCCTCCCCTTCCCCACTCTATTTCCCTCTCACGCCCCTCCCTCTCTTCCTGGGCTTAGAGTGGGGGGGGGGTCTGCTCACCTGCGGGCTCACCTTGCTGCTTCCTTCCTTCTTTCCCTTTCCTTTTTGCAGCTGGTGCAGGGAGGAGGCTTCCGCTGCCTTCTGGCCGGAGACAGGAAGCGGGAGGCGGCCTCGCCCGGACCCACGGACGGACACCGGTGGGAGGGAGGGAGGGAGGGGGAGGCCACGCCCCTTGCCACGCCCCTCCTGCAGCAGCAACAGCAGGAAGGAGAGGCCTCTGGGCGCGTGCAGAGCGCCGCAGCACTCTTCCCCCTTGCAGAGTTGGCAGGAGGGAGGTCTCTCTGCAAAGGCTGCTGTGCCAGGAGCTCCAATTTTGTTTATGTTTGTTGCAGTCCTAAGTTTCAGGGACTCTGCAGATAGGTGGCTTCTTTTGGCTGCAATCATAGGGCAAGCCACCTGTCAATTATAGTTAGGTTCCCTGGTCCCGCCCCCTTTGGGTTTTTGGAGGGAATAGGAGCCTTTTTGAGTTCAGTCCACACAGAGAAGCTTTCCATGCAGGACATAATACCAAGAGCTCCTGTAGAAAGCTTCGTCTTCTACAGCTTGGCCGGGGATATACAGTCCACAGCTTGGCCGAGGATCATGCGATGTGCGGGGCTTGACAAATGCAAGACTGGGGTGAAAATTGCTGGAAGAAACATTAACAATCTTAGATATGCAGATGACACCACTTTGATGGCCGAAAGCGAGGTGGAGCTGAGGAGCCTTCTCATCAAGGTGACAGAAGAAAGTGCAAAAGCTGGGTTGCAGCTAAACATAAAAAAACCAAGATTATGGTAACAAGAATGATTGACAACTGGAAAATAGAGGGAGAAAATGCGGAGGCCGTGACAGACTTTGTATTTCTAGGCGCAAAGATTACTGCAGATGCAGACTGTGGCCAGGAAATCAGGAGACGTTTACTTCTTGGGAGGAGAGCAATGTCCAGTCTCGATAAAATAGTGAAGAGTAGAGACATCAGACTGGCAACAAAGATCCATTGCCTAGTCAAAGCCATGGTCTTCCCTGTAGTCACCTACGGATGTGAGAGCTGGACCTTCGGGAAGGCTGAGCCAAGGAAGAGAGGCGCTTTTGAGCTGTGGTGTTGGAGGAAAGTGCTGAGAGTGCCTTGGACTGCGAGAAGATCCAACCAGTCCATCCTCCAGGAAATAAAGCCCGTCTGCTCATTGGAGGGAAGGATAGTAGAGGCAAAGATGAAGTATTTTGGCTACATAATGAGAAGACAGGAAAGCTTAGAGAAGACAATGATGCTGGGGAAAATGGAAGGAAAAGGAAGAGAGGCCGACCAAGGGCAAAATGGATGGATGGCATCCTTGAAGTGACTGGACTGACCTTGAAGGAGCTGGGGGTGGTGACGGCCGACAGGGAGCTCTGGCGTGGGATGGTCCATGAGGTCACGAAGAGTCGGAGATGACTGAACGAATGAACAACAACACCTCCTTTGCTGAGGGACTTCAGTCAGCCATCACAGAAACCTGAACTCCTTTTCCCTTGGAAGTCTACAAAGCTCTGCTTGGTAAGGGTCAATCACGGAAGCCAGAAGCAGTTGGTACTGGGTGCAGGGGCTCCACGCCAACAGAGGCAAGTACAGACTGCCCAGATTAGAAGTTAAGGATTTCCCCATTAGTTAAGATAAGAAGATAGTGCCTGTTCCCTGTGGACAAGATTGAAAGAGCCAATAGACTGTTAAGAAAGCTTTAAAGTACCTGTTTGTTTTCCTTAATAAAGAACATTGTTGAACCTTTAAGCAATCTAAAGACTCTGTTTTAAGGAAATCCAAAGGCCTTTAATCTGAGGCAGCCCGGCGTCCCGTTGGGCACATGGAATTTATGTCCTGTCTACAGTCTGATGCACAGCTGCTTCTTGAGGGCATCTCAGGGACCTTCCACACAACCCAGAACATCAAGGCAGGAAATCCCACTGGGTTCTATGAGTCCTCACTCAGATCAGGTGGGATCGACTGCCTTGGGATTCTGGGAGAAGGGCCCATAGGATGGCCTTGGTTGATGCTGCAGGAGGCACCTGGCTCATGGTCGGCTCCTGATCTCCTTTGACTCCTCCTGGGTCAATGGCATGCCATGGAAGTCACTCTGGGAAAGACAGAGTTGGAAGGGACCCCCAAAGGCCATCCAGCCCATCCCCCTTCTTTCTGCGTTCATGCAGGAAAAGCACAAAACACTTCCAGCAGATGGCCGGCCAGCCAGCCTCCTAGGATCAAAGAATCAGAACGTTGGAAGAGACCTGGTGGGCCATCATCCAGTCCAACCCTCATTCTGCCAAGAAGCAGGGCAATCGCGTTCAAAGCACCCCCAATAGATGGCCACTCAGGGTATCTCCAACTTATGGTCCTCTAAAACATCTCAAGATATCTCCAACTCTAAAACATCTCAAGGTATCTCCAACTTATGGCTCTCTAAAACATCTCAAGGTATCTCCAACTTACAGCCATCTAAAACATCTCAAGGTATCTCCAACTTATGGTCCTCTAAAACATCTCAAGGTATCTCCAACTTATGGCTCTCTAAAACATCTCAAGGTATCTCCAACTTATGGCCTTCTAAAACATCTCAAGGTATCTCCAACTTATGGCTCTCTAAAACATCTCAAGGTATCTCCAACTTATGGCTCTCTAAAACATCTCAAGGTATCTCCAACTTATGGCCCTCTAAAACATCTCAAGGTATCTCCAACTTATGGCCCTCTAAAACATCTCAAGGTATCTCCAACTTATGGCCTCTAAAACATCTCAAGGTATCTCCAACTTATGGCTCTCTAAAACATCTCAAGGTATCTCCAACTTATGGCTCTCTAAAACATCTCAAGGTATCTCCAACTGATGGCTCTCTAAAACATCTCAAGGTATCTCCAACTTATGGCCCTCTAAAACATCTCAAGGTATCTCCAACTGATGGCTCTCTAAAACATCTCAAGGTATCTCCAACTTATGGCTCTCTAAAACATCTCAAGGTATCTCCAACTTACGGCCATCTCATAGAATCCTAGAGTTGGAAGAGACCTGGTGGGCCATCCAGTCCAAGCCCATTCTGCCAAGAAGCAGGGCAATCGCATTCAAAGCACCCCCAACAGATGACCACCCAGCCTCTATCTAAACGCCTCCATAGAAGATGGAGAAAAATGAAGTCCTTTGGCTACATCATGAGGAAAGCTTGAAGAGAATGATCCTGGGGAAAATGGAAGGAAAAAGGAAGAGGGGCCGACTAAGGGCAAGATGGATGGATGGCTTGACCTTGAAGGAGTCCCTGGGGGTGGTGACAGCCGACAGGGAGCTCTGGCGTGGGCTGGTCCAGGAGGTCAACAAGAGTTGGAAGCGACTGAACAAATAAACAACAACAGAAGGAGCCTCCACCACACTTTGGGGCAGAGAGTTCCACTACTGAACAGCTCTCACAGTCAGGAAGTTCATCCTCGTGTTCAGATGAGATCTCCTTTCTTGTAGTTTGAAGCCATTGAACCATCTAAGATATCTCAAGGTATCTCCAACTTATGGTCATGTAAAACATCTCAAGGTATCTCCAACTTATGGTCATGTAAAACATCTCAAGGTATCTCCAATTTATGGTCATGTAAAACATCTCAAGGTATCTCCAACTTATGGTCATGTAAAACATCTCAAGGTATCTCCAACTTTTGGTCATGTAAAACATCTCAAGGTATCTCCAATTTATGGTCATGTAAAACATCTCAAGGTATCTCCAACTTTTGGTCATGTAAAACATCTCAAGGTATCTCCAATTTATGGTCATGTAAAACATCTCAAGGTATCTCCAATTTATGGTCATGTAAAACATCTCAAGGTATCTCCAATTTATGGTCATGTAAAACATCTCAAGGTATCTCCAACTTATGGTCATGTAAAACATCTCAAGGTATCTCCAATTTATGGTCATGTAAAACATCTCAAGGTATCTCCAACTTATGGTCATGTAAAACATCTCAAGGTATCTCCAACTTATGGTCATGTAAAACATCTCAAGGTATCTCCAACTTATGGTCATGTAAAACATCTCAAGGTATCTCCAATTTATGGTCATGTAAAACATCTCAAGGTATCTCCAATTTATGGTCATGTAAAACATCTCAAGGTATCTCCAATTTATGGTCATGTAAAACATCTCAAGGTATCTCCAACTTATGGTCATGTAAAACATCTCAAGGTATCTCCTGGGAGTTGTAGTTGCTGGGATTTATAGTTCACCTACAATCAAAGAGCATTCTGAACCCCACGAACAACAGAATTGGACTAAACGTATTATTCAATCAAGTTTAAAGTGCTTAAATGTATTTTAGCTCATGATTATGGGATTGTCAGGATAGGGATTTGTGTTTGTGATGTTTTTGTATACTTTTATTGTCGATATGATCAGAGGACTAATCAATAAACAAATTGATCTATCTTTGAAGTGCTTGGTTTGATCTCCGGTGTGCTAGTAAAACCGAACCGCAGTGTCGTGGAATGAGGCCTGTCCAAGAAGCCTGTCACGGTCACAAAATACACCCAAAGCTTTGCAGCATCTCCAAAGACAGAGGCATTTATTTGAAGGCTCCGCTTCCAGGAGGACGGGGCTTCTGTCTCCACCTTTTCTGGATGGCGTCCCTCCAAACCACAGGAGATCCCCCCGACTGCATTCTCTGCCAGTCCGTTCCTTGGTCCGTTCCTTGGAGGTTGGTCGGAGGGCCTAGAAGTAGTTGATGGGCTCCTCCCTGGTCTTGCCCAGCTGGAAGCCGGCCAGTTCCACCTGACCACCGTAGACCGGAAGGGCCTTGAAGATCCGCAGGTGGACAAAGTCCCTCTCCTCAGGCCCAACACGCACCTGGCAGGTGGGAGAGAGACAGTGGGAGGGGCATAGGGGAGGAGGAAGAGGAAGAAGAAGAAGAAGAGGAAGAAGGGAAGGTGAGGAGGAAGCAGAAGAAGAGATGGAGGAGGAGGGGGAGGAGGAGGAGAGGGAGGAGCAGGAACAGGAAGAAGATGAAGAAAGGAAGAAGATAAGGAGGAGGAAGAAGAGGAGGAGAAGGAGGAAAAGGAGAAGAAGAGGAAGAATAAGATGAAGAAGAAGGAGAGGAGGATAAAGAAGAAGAGATGGAGGGGGAAGAAGGAGATAGAGAAGAAAAAAGAGGAGGAGGAGGAAGATGAAGAAGGGGAGGAGAGGACAGGGAAGAAGAAGAGGAGGAGGAGGAGGGGAAGAAGAGGAGGAAGAGGAAAATTAAGAAGGGGAGGTGAGGAGGAAGAAGAAGAGATGGAGGGGGAGGAGGAGAAGAGGAAGAAGATGGAGAAGGAGGAAGAAGAGGATAAGAAGAGATGGAGGGGGAAGAAGGAGATAGAGAAGAAAAAAGAGGAGGAGGAGGAAGATGAAGAAGGGGAGGAGAGGACAGGGAAGAAGAAGAGGAGGAGGAGGAGGGGAAGAAGAGGAGGAAGAGGAAAATTAAGAAGGGGAGGTGAGGAGGAAGAAGAAGAGATGGAGGGGGAGGAGGAGAAGAGGAAGAAGATGGAGAAGGAGGAAGAAGAGGATAAAGAAGAAGAGATGGAGGGGGAAGAAGGAGATAGAGAAGAAAAAAGAGGAGGAGGAGGAAGATGAAGAAGGGGAGGAGAGGACAGGGAAGAAGAAGAGGAGGAGGAGGAGGGGAAGAAGAGGAGGAAGAGGAAAATTAAGAAGGGGAGGTGAGGAGGAAGAAGAAGAGATGGAGGGGGAGGAGGAGAAGAGGAAGAAGATGGAGAAGGAGGAAGAAGAGGAGGAAGAAAAGAAGAAGAGGAGGAAGGAGAAGGGGAGGAGAGGAAGAAGAAGAGATGGAGGAAGGAAAAGAAGGAGATAGAGAAGAAAAAGAAGACGTGGAAGAAGAGGAGGCGGTAAAGAAAGAGAAGCATCAGCATTATGAATGACATAAGGAGCTGCTCTGACTGGACCATCACTGGACCATCACCCTCAGTTGACCCATTGGGATGCTCATCTACTTCCAGACCGAAATGGCAACCTGTGACCTTTCAAGCTTGGGACCCAAGAAACCTCTCCCCCGGCCCTAATTCCCATTGATCTCCTTACTCCCCAGGACCCACCTTGACGAAGTAGTTGGTGCCAGCAACCACCTGCGAACAGTAGCAAACAGCCTCAAAAATGGTGTACCGCTGGTTGGTTTGGGCTTCTAGCTGGTCCTTCACCTGGAAAGAAGAGAGAGTGAGGGCAAGGGTTATTGGGGTGGATGATAGAATCTCCACATTGGAAGAGACCCCCAAGGGCCATCTAGTCCAACCCCATTCTGCCAGGCAGGAGGACACAATCAAAGCCCTCCCGACAGGTGAGCCTCTGTTTGAACACCATCTTGAAAGTTCATAGAATCCTAGAGTTGGAAGAGAGTCCAAGGGCCACCCAGCCCAACCCCCTTCTGCCATGGAGGAAGGCCCAACCAAAGACACTTCTCAAGGAAGCATATTGAACGGCTCTTGAAGTTCTTCCTAATGTTGAGGTGGAATCTCTTTTCCTGCTTCTTGAACCCATGGCTCCATTGGGCCCTAGTCTCTAGATCAGCAGAAAGGAAACTTGACTCCACCTCAATGGGACCTCCTCTTAGATACTGAAACATGGCTCTTCTCGTGTCCCCTTCTCAGAGCCTTCTTTTCTCCAAGCCAAACATCTCCAGCTCTGTAAGCCCCTCCTCAGACCTTGGATCTCTTTGGCTGTCCTTCTCTGGACACCTCCCCTCTTGTCCATCTCCTCCTTGAATTGCTTTGACCAGAATTGGACACAGGGTCATCATTCTAGATCTGTGATCAGCAGAAAGGAAACTTGACTCCACCTCAATGGGACCTCCTCTTAGATACTGAAACATGGCTCTTCTCGTGTCCCCTTCTCAGAGCCTTCTTTTCTCCAAGCCAAACATCTCCAGCTCTGTAAGCCCCTCCTCAGACCTTGGATCTCTTTGGCTGCCCTTCTCTGGACACCTCCCCTCTTGTCCACCTCCTCCTTGAATTGCTTTGACCAGAATTGGACACAGGGTCATCATTCTAGATCTGTGTCACCACCCCTTAATACGGTTCCTCATAGGAAGTTCCATAAAGGGAAATATATCCATGAGGGTCCCTTGTTTGTGAGGTGGCCCTTAGCAAACTATAAGTTACTATCTCTAATGGACTTCAGAAGTTTGACCAAAGCAGAAGTGGAGCCCTGGCTTTCCTCGATCTCGACACTAGACTCCTGTGAGTACGGCCAACAGGTTGCTTCCCTCCAAGGCTCTCTCTCTCACCTTTCATGGCAAGCCCACTCCTCACAAAGCGTTGGAGAAGAACTGGAGCAGACTAGATGGCCTTTGGGACTGCCCTTCCAAGGGGGTTGCCATAGGGAAGAAGCCTTGGGTCATTGACGGCCTTCTCACCTGGTCTGCGATGGCCTGGGTCTCTGCAGTGGCCGGTTTGAGGGTGGATAAGCCTCCGGGAATCATGGTTCCTGAGGGAAGGGGGTCTCCACGGAGACAGAACCTGCAGGTGGATGGATGGATGGAGCTGCTTCCAGGTGGATCTGGCCTCCTTCTTTGGGCAACTGCTGCTGCACCTGAGCCAGGTAGGCGTTGTTGTGCAAAGGGAGGCACGCCCGGCTGCGGTTGCAACACGCCCGGCGCCAGATCTG